CAGAGCGGTCACTGTCTACAGGACAGCAGAGGGACAGAGCGGTCACTGTCTACAGGATGGCAGAGGGACAGAGCGGTCACTGTCTACAGGACGGCAGAGGGACAGAGCGGTCACTGTCTACAGGACAGCAGAGGGACAGCAGTGGTCACTGTCTACAGGACGGCAGAGGGACAGAGCGGTCACTGTCTACAGGACGGCAGAGGGGCAGAGCGGTCACTGTCTACAGGACAGCAGCGGTCACTGTCTACAGGACGGCAGAGGGACAGCAGTGGTCACTGTCTACAGGACGGCAGAGGGACAGCAGTGGTCACTGTCTACAGGATGGCAGAGGGACAGAGCAGTCACTGTCTACAGGACGGCAGAGGGACAGCGGTGGTCACTGGCAGGACCCTTTTGTCTTTGCTCAGATGCCTCAGGTCTCCTAACACCAGTCTAATGCAGCTCCACTGTGGTAGCAGCTGTGTGGTCCTTTTCAGCGGCAGAGAGGGCCCCAGCAGGGCGGGCTGGGGAAGGGCCAGAGGAGGAGCAGAGGCCAGCAGGGAGGAGTGGATGAGAACAGCACTCACAGAGGAAGTCCGAGAGCCACTCGGGCTGGTTGTAGTGGACGATGGCGACGCACAGCGTGTTGAGGGCTACCAGACTGAGCACGGTCCAGTAGAAGGCCTGAGTTTTGACCATGCGGCGGATGTAGAAACGCATCCTTCTCTCCTTTTTGTGAAAAAAAGTTGAGTTCTCCAGCTTGGCACTTTTAATGCTGGCTCTGGCGAAGGGAGACCCTGCCAGGGAAAAGTATGAAGAAAGTGAGACTCAGGATGCCCTCGGTGAGGAAGACTATCCACAGGAGGTCACGTGAGAGGACGCGATGGAGCAGAGTTCTACGCTGCAAGTCCCCTGTGGGAGCTAATGCTCCAATGGCCTCCAGGACAAGGGTGACAGGATGCTGGTTCCCCAGGGATCAACATGGACTTCCCACCTGCAGCATGGTGTGGCTGTTTGGAGCTTGGTGCATGACAGACACTCAGATTAGCAGCACTCAGTTGAGGAACTAACTGTTCATGGGCCCTGCTCTTGTCAGGCACAGAGTTGGGGACCAGACAGAGGCAGAATTCCCACCAGGTGAAAATTACCACTCAAGGAGAACACACATTAAACAGAGATTTGGGACGAAGGGATGGCTCAGTCGGTAAGCGCTTGTTCCAAAACCACAAAGAGCTACTGAGTTCAACCCCAGAGCCCACATCAAAGCCAGGCAGAGCAGAGTACCTGCCGCTGGTGCCAGGAGACTCGCGGGCCAACCAGTCTGGCCTAATCGCTCATCTCCAGGCCAGCGGGAGACCTGATCTCAAAGGAGGGGGCAGGGTTCCTGAGGATGCCGCCTCAGGCTGACCTCAGGCCTCCACACAGACATGAACAGGTCAGTGATGGGACAGGACCCGTTATCCCCCTCTGGCCTCTACATGCAGGCAGGGTGCACACACTTGCACACATGATACACACACCACATACACCACACTTAAAAAAAAAATCTAAAGGGAATGTAATAATTGTTTTTAAGTATTTATTTTCACGTGGTGTGTGTGTGTGTGTGTGTGTGTGTGTGTGCCATGTGTATACCGATGCTCATGAGGCCAGAAGAGGGTTAGAGTTACTGGTGGCCATGAGCTACCTGTGTGGGCGTGGGACTGAACTCGGGTGCATTACACCATTGAGCATCTCTCCAGGCCCCAAATGTAATAACTGACTGGAGACCTCTCCCTGCAGAGGCTTCCCTTTCCTCTCATGCTCTATTTTCTTTACTTTTTTGACAGTGCCAAGAATGGAACTCAGGGCCTAGCACACAGTAGGCACACACAGTAGGTGAACACTGAGTCACGACTCCCACCTTTTAAAATTAATTATTTTTATAAAAATAATTATGTTTTGTACAAGTAGACACAAACTGAAGACAATTATGGTGGGTTGCATAACTGGATTTTTTTTATTATTATTATTTACTACAGTTTGTGTGTGTGCGCCCATCCACGCAGGCCAGCAGAGGGTGTCAGAGACCCCCGAGTTACAGGCTGTTGTGAGCTGCCCTGTGCGCGTGCTGGGAACGGACCCAGTCTCACAAGGGCAGCGAGTGTGCTCGGCTGTGCCGTCTGCAGCCTCTGCAGGTGGTTCTGAAGCATGTCCACGCTTGAGCCAGTCACCGTGTGTATCACCGTTATGGTCTGCATCTTAAATGCTCCGGACTCTAGCGTATGGGAGGTGGTGGGCACTTCATGAGATGGGGCCTAGACAGAAACCTTGACCTATCTGGGTAGAGGGACTCTTAACTGAGACAATACTTCCGTAAGATCGGCCTGCAGGCAAGTCCGTGGGAACATATTCTTAAGAGACTGGTTTGGGAGGGAGGGGCCCCGCCCACTGTGGGTGGTGCCTCCACTGAGCAGGTGGTCTTAGGGTGGATAAGAAAGCAGGCTGAGCAAGCCAGAGGCTCAAGCCAGTAAGCAGCATTCGGCCACGGCTCACGCACCAGTTCCTGCCTTGAGTTCTTGCCCTGAGTTTGGCCACCTTTCTCTCTCTGCTCCCTGTTGCTATGATGAGAGCAGTGAGTGCTTCTCCTCGCAAAGGAACAGCAGTGAGTGACGTGGACTGAAACCTGGCAACTATGTGCCCAAATCAACCTCTGCTCCTCACAACTTGATTACCTCAGCTACTGTGGGCACACACTCACAGAAAGTCAATACACTCACATACTTTCTCTTGCAAGAGCATGTACAAATCTCTCAGGTCTGTGCGTGCGCACGACTGTGTGTGCATGTGTTCATGTGGGCGCCAATACATGTATGCATACCTACATGTTTGTGAATTCTTATGTCTGTGTGCATGTGGAGGCCAGAGGTCTTATGGTACCATTCACTTTTTTTTTTTTTTTTTTTGAGATAAGGTTTGGAACTTGCCTACTAGATTAGACTGGCTAGCCAAAGAGTCAGGGATCCACCTGTCTCCATCTTCTGTAGGCAGCGATTATTAGCATGTACCAGCACACCCAACTCTTTGTGCATGGATCTTGGAGGATCAAACTCAGGTCTTTGGGCTTGCTATTCCAGCCAGGACGTTAGCTACTGAGCATCTTCCCAGCCCTCCAGCCATTTAAAAATACACCGCTCCACACAGTCTGACCACATCTTATAATGGAGCTCTCGAAGGCACTTGCTTTGTACAGACATTTCGTACCCTAGGGCCCCGCTCCGGAGTGGGGAGCAAGCCCTCCTGCTGTGGGACGCTCATCAGCTGGTTGGCCACACAGCGGGGGCCAGTGAAGAATCACAGCCGCAGTTTCCTCCTTAGAGTTGGGGGATACCAGCTATGCCTTCTGGGTAGTCTAGGAAGCCAGGGGTTAGCATGGGCTTCCCTCCTTTGTGGCTGGGCAGAGTTACTGCCTGGATGGGACCTGCCACAGAATACCAGACCACAGACTGTGTTTGGAGTCCATTTAGAAAGTGGAAAGACGTTGGTTTTTCTTAAAAAAAAAAAAAAAAAAAAACTTTGTGTGTATGTGTGTGTATGAAGCATACATGTATACATGGTACATATATGGAGAACTACTGAGAGTGTCCATCCTCACCTTCCACCTTGTTTGAGAAGGACTTTTGTTTGTCATTTATTTGAGACAGGGTCTCACTATGTAGCCCTGGCTGGCCTGGAACTCACTAAGTACACCAGTGTGGTCTTGAACTCACAGAAATCCATCTGCCTCTGCTTCTCCAGTGCTGGTATTGGAGGTGTGTGCCACCATGCTCACTGAACAGGGTCTTTTTGTTGTTTACTGCCAGCTAGCTGGCCTTGGAGTTTCTGGGAGGCATCCGCCTCCTACCTCACTATAGAATTACAGACACAGGCTACTAACTCTGGCTTCCCATGGGTTCTGAGATTCAAACTCAGGTCCTCACACTTGCAAGGCAAGGCTTTATCCCCTGAGCTATCTCCCAGCCTCAGTGGCTTTTAAATTTGTTTGGTTTTGTGGTGCCTTGTGCATTCTGAGCAAGCGCCCCCTGTGAGCCCTGCTCCAGCCCTTGCTCTTATTTATTCGAACAGAAGCCATCCTGCCAGAGTCACCGGGATCATGCCTCCTGTGCAAGACAGCAAGTCACTTCTGAAGAACTGACAGTCGGTGAAGGGGCCAGAGATGGAGCTGAGTGGGGGGCTGGGCTCCCAAGGCACTCATTGGGCTGTGCCCTCAGCTCCGCAAAAGCAAGCAAATAAATAAAAGGTGGATGAACAGTAGGTCAAGAAACTGATCTATAGTTAATTAATGCCAAGTGATATATCATAAGTAAACCAGGAACATTACAGATTTACGGCCCCACCACGAGCATCCAAGAGTGTCATTGCCCTCATCCTTGTCGGCATGGGGTTGGATCACTTTTTCATGTCTGTCAGAACGAAGGATGAAGACCTGAAACTCACTGAGTGGACTCCTCTCTAATTCACAAGGTCTCAGCTTGGGCTCCCACATACACAGCAGCAGCAACTAAGATGCTTGCTTATTAAGACAAACACAGCAGAGTGGGGCCTGAAAGAGGGCTCAGCAGGTAAAGGTGCTTCCCATCGGGCCTGATGACTGGAGGTCGATCTCCAGGACCCACATGATGGGAAGACAGCCTACTTCCACAGGTTGTCTTCTGGCTTCCACACATGTATGGTGACATGTATGCCTACACATGTACACACACACACACACACACACACACACACACACACACACACACA